AGTCTCCTATCTTTAGAATATTTTCTATTAACACTTCATATTAAATGTCAAAATTATTTTCCAGCTTCGAAAATCATCACCCCCCCCCCCCCCCAACACACACACTCTCCCCCCCCCCTCTCTCACTCCTTATTAATTCACCAATCAATTATAGCTTAGCTTTATCTTATCTATAACTCCTTCCTTCCTTTATTCAATTTTCATAATAGGACATAAGTTTCCCACTATTTTCTTGAGTAACTTTAGCTTAATTATTATCTAATTCCCCTATAATATTTCAAGATTAACGTTCTTAAACCCAACAGTAAGCTACACAAAAGTTTCAGCTTTCCCAACTATCATCCTCACACGGTTTTACATTATGGTACCATAACCTATGCTACATTTCCCATGAAGATTTTATGCAACTCCTCTATTCAACCCCTTACTCAAATCTGGAAAATTTCCAGATTTAAAACAATGCCTAGTCACCCTTGAAATGCCCTCAAACTTGATTTAACGGCATAAACAAGTTACATTCAACTTTTAGCAATATAAACTACAGCCTAATTAGTTTAATTCAACTTAACCATCCAATCTCTAAAATTTCCAACCATTACACCATCTTTAATTATCACTTTAGAAACTTTAATCACATTTTAATACCTTGGGAATACTTGATAAGTTTCAAACTTCCTCTTTTAGTTCCCACAAAGGCCTAAACAAATAGACACATATAACCTTCATAGCTTATAATGTCCTTAATTTCTCTTATAATTTGGACGGCACCTCCTTCTAATTTCCAGAAAATTCTCATATCCCACACTTACACTTCACATATTCATCATGTAAGCTTTCTTCCATTCCCCACTGTGGAATCTGACGCTGCAGCACCGAAAACAACAAGCCAAATTCGAAAATTCCTTGGCTTAACATCAACCACGCACACATACACGTATACTACTTCTTTTACTTAATATAACAGCTTGTTTGATTTTTATTTTGATTCTAAATATAATATCTCAATTTATTTTATTTCTCATATTTATCTATTTTTTTCTAAATAGTTCTTATAACAATAGTAGCTCTATCCAATACAATTGATTAGTAAAGATATTTTTGAAAATTCAGCACCTATTTATTATGAATAATTAACTTCTCTTAATCTACTCAAATTAGTAGTCAATTAACTCTTATATTAAGGAGCTTAGCTAGTATCATATATCGATGACCATGCGAGCCGATTGGTTTATGAGTGAGTGGCTGTGTGTGTATCCTCTCCTTCAACCCTCACAATTCGATGCCACTTTAATTAATCTTTTAACCCCTGTTCCGGTCGACAAAAACAGAGCAAGGAAATCCACATGCAACCACAATTATCAAAAGGCAACACTTATACTCACTTACACAAGATTTAATCTACTTGTTCCATCATTATTTCGTTTGTTTTCCCCCATTTCTTCGTAACCCAGAAATTTCATTTTCCCATCAACTCTTAAATGTCACAGAGAATGGAGAAAAGAAGGGTAGGAGAGTGCTCAGAACGCTCACCTTAGCCTAAAATTACAATTGCATGTAAGCTTCACCACCTCCTGTCACTCCTCTAGCTTCGCCGATCTCTGGTTCTCTCTCTACTCTCACTCTCGGTCACTCTATTTTCGGGAGCTCCGAGCGTAAGGGTATCGGCGTGCGAAATTACCATTATGCGCTTCACTTCATTCCTTACTTCTATTTTCATCCTTTCTCTACTACTATGAAACTGTAAAATAAATCTAAAGATTAACCCATAGTATTTTATATGGATTTTTCTTATCCATTAACTTCATTGACCCATAAAATAATTCTTCTAACAATTTTGGGACAAAAATTAACTCCTAACTTTTTTTTTTTCTTGAATTTGCTAAGCAAATAGTCCTTAATTTCATAAATTAATTCTTAGCTTGTTCTAAAGATTTTATACCTCAATTAGCACCTTTTTTTCATCAAATAATGATTCTAAAATTTCCAAATCAAATATAAAACTCTAGGTATTTTTCTCAGAATTTTCTAAGAAGATAAACCACTTTTGTTTTGAAAATTAACTTTTAAAATTATCTAAGCCATTTTTGTGGAATGAATTTTTTCAAAATATTCGTAGGTCTTTAAATAAATATTTCATAATTTTTTCCAGTTTTATTTAGACACTAAATAATTTCAATGAATGTTCTTTTCCATTTTTTCTAGGGACAATAAAAAAAAAAGAAATTAAAATTTTGTAAATACCAGATAAAGAATGTCAATAAAAATTTATTGTTATTTACAAATTCAAACTTGTCAATACCAAATAAAATTGTGTTACGAAACCTACTGTGGGATTTGCAATTTTTAGCTTCTTCTGTCATTCTCCTTTTTTGTTAAGTCAAAAAATTCGGGACGTTACACAATTATATGGTCATATCAATAAATATATTTTGTATTTAATAAACTAATTTTATTTTTAATCATTTTACATTTAGACTTATTTTTAAATTTATCATTCGAACAAGTTTTAGCTTGTCCAATTGACTTTTTTTTTTATAATAGCTAATTCAAATATAAATCATATTATGCTAACTAACTTTTATTATAACTTAAAAATTAAGTTAAATGAAATAAAAATTTTTTTTTATCACTACTAATAATCCAAATACACCCTTAAAAGTATAAGTTAAGGTTTGTTTGGGTGCTCTCCAAAACTATGGTTTGGAGGTAAAACCATAGTTTGAGTAGCATGTCACTCAAATAGTATCAATTTTGGAGAAATAATCTGAAATCATGGTTTGGGCAAAAACCATGGTTTTGGAGCCCAAAACCATGATTTCAGGAGAAGTATATCCATTCTACTTTTGGTTCAAATTAGAGAGTATGATTGTGCCTATCAAAGTAGATCTCAACAATAATATGATTTTAACATCCCTCAATTATTTTTTTATAAACATATTTAATCTTATATCTTATAAATATATATACACATATTAATTAATTATTAATTATATTATCTCATGTATTATTAATTATGTTGGTAAAAAATATATTATTGACAATTTTATTCCTTCAAATTAAAATCTATCATAAAATCTATCTTTTATGTAGTTATCATAATTTGTATATATAAAAAGTACTTCTAATAACAACTATCTAAATACTCTTACTTCTCAAAATCACTTTTTCACAAAATTTATTTTTCACAGAGGGGGTGTTTGGATACCTTGAAAAGTGCTTCTCAGAAGCACTTTTCCACAAATCGAGATAAACTCCTCCACATATTTACCTCGTAGATCGTAAAATCACTTCTGAAACTATGGTTTGGTTTCCATCCAAACATTCTCATCTATTCTCCAGAAGCTATTCTCCAAACCATGATTTGGTTTATTTTCACTTGTCATCGAGAGAGAAAAAATGACTATGACAAGAAAGAGAAGAGTTTTGAAGTGGGTCCCACTTTGCTTTCACTAAAAAAACAACTACTCCAAAAGACCTAATAATTCAATATTTATAAAAATATTCAACAAAAGAAAAAAAATTAAATAATAAAATTTAGGGAAAATTGGAGGAAAATTCCCATTTGAAATTTTACGATACCAGTCCATGAAAGCTTCACAAGGATGCTCCTATGGCCACAGGTATGCACATCCCTCACGGTGTGGCTCCCATGTAGAATGTTATCAAATATTCTACAAATTAAACTAGAAAACCTACTGCCTCTAGCCCATAGCATAAAAAGTTTATTAACTAGTTTGAGTTACTTAAAAAATTAATTAAATTAGTTATCTATCTATCTACTTCTAATATGAAATCTCACAATACCTGATTATGGAAAAACAGGTTTACAGGTCATGAGAACACGCTAATTCTATGGTGAGCCAACTTTGAATGTCCGCCTTTTACATGCAAAGTAAACATTGCACCTTGATATAATATATATATATATATATATCATATTTGATTGATTTTAGAGGGTTGTACTCTCAATTGAAGGTGAATGTAATTTCCCCCTTCCACATACCTTCCACACATAATTGTCATCATGAAATCTTTGTTGACGTCTATTTCTTGAAAAGAGCTATGTGAGGTTGTAACCAAGGTTTCCATCCAGAAGGTTGAGATTGCTTATGGGTGGACTCATGATGGGTGCTCATGTGGTTGCAAACCTTTATGTGAGAATGACGAACTTAAATGCGAAAGTTGCCCGGGCGACATATTGATGATTGAGCTCAAGTATCATTATTTGTTATTTTACCTCCAAACTGAGCATGCCTTTCCCCATTAATTTACTACACTTTACAAAATGAAGATCTTACTAAAATATTACTTCATGTCGTTTGATAAATCTGATTCCATTAATTTATACGCACCTTACAAAATGACATATGCCGGTTGAATAAATCTTTCCACATTAATTTATACGCACCTTACAAAATGAGGACCTAAAAACAAAGCAAGCGAAAGAGTGATTTTTTACGTTACATTGCACTAAGTAAGTTTTGGACTCACTGACCGTACTCAAACATTTGCGCTTCCCCAACTCTCCTGATTCCAGGGGAAAAAACCAGTTCTTTCCCACAAGAATTGAGCAATTGTATGGGTAAAGAAATGATTGTCAAGTTGAAAATTAAAAAAAAAAAAACATCAAGTTTTGAAATAGTAGTATGGGAGTGATCCAGTTCACAACTAATGAAAAGATGCTCGCAAATTTTGCCTACCCTGATATACAAGTATTCAACCAACTCTTTCTCTAAATCTTAGCATTAAATGTTTCAATCCACCATCTTAGACCTACTGTCCACAATTATGTAGGGAAGTTAATAGAACAACATAATAACTCACTCTTGAGACGCTTATGGTTAACACACTTCAGTTGCACAGCATCCAACAACGCTAACATGTGGCATTGCGGGAAAAGATAATGATCTCTCAATATCCCAGTTGCTTGGCTCACCAAACTCAACGTCCAAACATAAACAAAGCCTCCTGATTCCCCAGTTGCTGATAAAGGGACGAGGTTGTCGTCTAACCCATCAATTTCAAACCCTAGCTTTATGAAGCCACCTTTTTTTTTTGACCAGGGGAAAAAACATCCATAAAAACAGAAACAAAACACAACGAGTTCAGTACAACAAGGGAAAAGAAAGAAACACACGCAAAGAAACTAGAACAAGGAAGAAACAAAACTTCAGCCAACGCCTTCCCTATCAGCTTCAAGCGAGGTCTGGTCGTTCCCCGGATTGTGCTTATCAGTTGCATCTTGAAGTAGAATGGAAGCTAGAGGAGGTGGCAGTACAAGTATCAGACCGTGGGGTCCCACCTCCCTTGAAGCAGAAGCGGCCAAAAAGTCGGCAGCACAGTTTCCCGCACGGGAAATAAAAGAACAAGTCAGCGTACTTCGTGATGCAATCTGATCTATGATATCGTTGACTAGACCTTGTAGCAGCCAAGGGCAAGAAGAAGGGGACTGAGCAGAGATCGCATCAATAAGCACTTTACAGTCTCCTTCCAAGATGACATTCGAGAGCCCCCATTCTTCAGAGAGTGAGATAGCTTTAGTCAAAGCCAAGATTTCAGCATGGAGCGCTGAAGAGGCCACTACAGCCTTTGACCACCCTCGCAAAAACAGCCCATAGGAGTCTCTACAGATTATACCAATGCCAGCTTTACCTGTTTTTCGATAGTAGGCCCCATCATAATTTAACTTCACACGCCCAAAATGTGGCTTCCTCCACCTAGTAGCAGATTTAGGCAGTGCCATTTCTGTATTAGTGGGCAATAGTTCGTTAGCTTCCCAGAAGTCCCTCATCATCTTATTGGCAGCTTCAATGACCAAGGTAGGGTTTGGGGTTTCTTGTTCAAAAACCAACTTGCATATGAATTTCCATATAAACCAACATAGAGTAGCTAGGTAGGCCTTCCCATATTCAGAATCTTTCAATTCATGCAAGAGAAAGTTTTCCATCCAAAAGGATATGCTCCGGACATTGCAGTGGTTTACTATGATTCCCAGCGGACTTCCGAACCAGGCAAAATTCGTCCAGTTGCATAGCAGAAACAAATATTCAAGAGTTTCTGTTCCTTCTCTACAAATCAGACATATAGGATCAGGAGCACTTTTGCGACGGTATAGAGCTTCTTTAGTTGCTAGGGCCCTGTTTAGAATTCTCCAATGAAGTTCTTTACTCTTGGGGCAGTTTTGAGTTTCCACACAGCAGCCCAGATTCTAGTATCAACTTTTAGTGATGGAGTAGCTTTCGTTACTGCTAGATTTAAATCGACCTTAGTCAAGGCTGCTCTATATCCGGCTTTTACTGTATATTTTTCGTCTTTTGAAGCTGCCCAAATAAGTCTATCAGCTGTACTCAATACGGGAAGAGGTATGTTTAAAATGAGGCTCAAGTACTTGCTCTCAACTTGCTCCCTTATAGGGTCCAGATTCCACTGTCTTTCACTGATTAGGCTCGAGACTAACAAATCCTCATTAACCTCCTCATCATCTTTCTTAGGAAGGAGGAATTTATCTGCTCCAGGAACCCAAGGGTCTTTCTAGATTTGGATGTAGTGCCCATTACCAATTTGCCAGCATAGATTCTATTTCAAGAAATTACGTCCTGTGAGAATGCTATCCCATACCCAAGAAGATTTGGGACCTTTTTTTGCCTCCATGAAGGAGGAATTAGGAAAGTAGATACTCTTCAATATTCGAACCCAAAGACTCTCTGGAGACTGTAGGATACGCCATGCTCTGTCTTAGCGAGTAGGGCGTCGTTGAAGCCCATAAAGTCTCTAAATCCTATTCCTCCTTCCTTCTTGGTCCTTGAGAGTGATTTCCATGCTTTCCAATGTATTTTCCCTCCTCCCTCAGAATTGCTCCAGAAAAAGTTTGAGACTAGTTGGTCTAGAGCTTTGTAGGTTTGTTTTGGGAATTTAAAACAGCACATAGGGTAGATAGGAATGGCATTAACCACTGCCTTTATCATGACCTCTCTACTAGTGAAAGAGAGGCATTTCTTCTTCTAGTTTTGAACTTTCCTTCCCATTTTGTCTCTTACATAAGCCAGTGCTGCTTGCTTCGAAGATCCCCACAGAATTGGTAGACCCAAGTATTTCCCTGGATCAGAGGTGGCTTGGATATTTAGACAAGAAGCTATCTGACTCCTCACCTATTAGGAGAGAAAAACAAGCTTGATTTATCATAGTTGACTCTTTGTCCAGAACATTTACAGTACTCTCGGAGGATTTCCATGAACAGCCTGCAATTTTGAGCCTCGGCTTGCATAAAGATAATGGTATCATCAGCGAAAAGGCAATGGGTAAGCATCGAGCCGCCTCTGGTGATATTAATACCCCTAAAGTTACCATGTTTGGCGTGGATAGAGAGCATTGAGGAGAAGACTTCGGATGCCAGAATAAACAGATAGGGGGAGAGAGGGTCTCCCTGCCTCAAGTCTCTTTGGGGTTTAATCTGAGCTATTTTCCTCCCTGATAGCTGGATATTAAATGAGACACTACTAATACAATCCATGATCCAGGCAATCCATGTATCACAGAAATTTAGTTTCTTCATCATCCCTTCAATGAAACCCCACTCTATGCGATCATAAGCTTTATTCATGTCCAGTTTTACTGCCACTTCATATTTATCCCAGATTTTTTGTTCTTAAGGTAGAAGGCCTCATGAACAATGATGTTGTTATCTTGGATTAGTCAGTTGGGGATAAAGGCCCTCTGGTTTTCAGAAATGCAACTATCAAGCACTAATCTCAATCTGTTGGCTAAAATTTAGCCACAATTTTATAAGCACAGTTACACAAGCTTATTGGGTATACTAGGAGACAGATTCAGGGGTGTCCACTTTAGGAATAAGAATCAAGTTAGTTTCATTCAAGGCATTTATTGAACTATTCCTTTCAAAGAAACCCCTAACTAGGATTAAGAGAGAAGATTTTACCTCGTCCCATGAGAACTGGTAGAAGTGGCCATTGAAACCATCAGGGCTGGGGGCTTTGAATGCCCAAGTTGGAAAGTGGCTTCTTTGATTTCAGCTTCTATCACTGGGAGAGTGAGCCACCTGTTTTGCTGTTCTGTGATTTTGGGTTGCGTGTAGAAAAACTGGGTCTAACTGTGAAGCTGGGTAACTTCTGAAAAGAGAGTTGTAAAATTTGCTATCAAGTTTGCAACCCCTTCCTCTTTTTCAACCCATTCCCCATTTTGATTCTTAATTCTCACAATCAGGTTTCTTTGTCTTCGCATAAGAGTAGATCTATGGAAGTACTTAGTATTGAGGTCTTCTGCTTTGAGCCAATTAGTACGACTTCTCTGCCACCAGTACACTTCTTCCCTTTGCCAAACACTCTCTAATTCAGAAGTTAGAGAGTCAATGTTGTGTTTCATCTCCTCTGTGTACACTCCCCTCTTTAGCTCTTCGATTCGACCAATTAGGGAGTTGATCAGTTTCCTGTTGTTGGGGAACACTGTTTTGCTCCACTGGATGAGCGCCTTTCTGCAATTGTTCAGATAGTCCACAAATACTTGGATTCCAGTCACTGGATACCTTTCTTCCTCCGACCAACAGTTTCTGACTATATTCAGGAAGTCCGGGTGGGTTACCCATATAGCTTCAAACTTGAAAGACTTGGGAGTTATCATGTCGTTGTAGCACAATTCCACCAGGAGAAGATGATGATCCGAAGCTATAGGTTCAATATGGAGCACTAGAGCCTTCGGGAAAGCTTCCTTGAAACAGAGGTTCCCAAAAGCGCGATCAATTCTTTCTTTGACATGGTCTGCCCTAGTTCGCTGATTACACCATGTGAATCTTGATCCCTTAGCTATCAGTTCGAGTAGCTCACAATCAGAGATAAATTGTTGAAAATTCAGCACTCGGCGAAGAACATGGGGGTTACCACCCCATTTGTCATCTTGTGATAATATATCATTGAAGTCGCCTACGTAAAGCCACGACGCTAACATAGAGGAGGCAATGTGTCGTACTTGGTCCCAGATTTTTCTTCTGTCTCCCTCTCTGGGTGGGCCATAAATGAAGGAAATATACTCAGGTAGATTTACTGAATTAGAGGAGACTTTTGTATGTATAATATTCTTTGAGCTGCTGATGATGTTAATCACTACTGAATTTAGCCACCAGAGGGCTAGGCCGCCTGACTGACCGCAGGGTGGAATTATCCAGCTTTCTTCAAATCCGTATCGATGCTTAATACGGTCCATATAACGGGTTTGTTTTTTTGTTTCCATTAAGAAAACAATTTGGGGATTGTTTTTCCTTACCTCCTTGCTGAGGTTCTTTACTACCAAGGGTTTCCCCAGCCTTGGCAGTTCCAGGATAAGATACTCATGGTTGTTGGGTGGCTGTTGATGGACAGCCACCAGAACCCTCAGTGATATTTGCAGCCAGTGGATTCGTTGGATTCTCATGAGCTCTAATCCAGCTCTCTGGGAAATCAATCTCTTTGTGGTGGGTAGGAGTCTGATTTACGCCGAAGTAGCAGTCCCTTCCCACATCTACTCCTACCTATTGTTAGGTGAATGACGGCTACGTTCCTTCCCATAGTCATACCAGATTGCTTTTGGGTTCCCCCCACTCTCCTTCGTTTGCTCTTGCTCACGCGCCGCCTGCCGTTTTCGGCAGTCCCCCTTATGCCAGTTCTTGTCAAACTGAACTAAGGCCTCCTCCTTATCTCTCTCTGCTCCAGTCGTTGTCCATGGCCCATAAGCTCGTTCTCCTTTCTCATTGACCATAAGGTCCTTCTTGCACGTTCTTCCATCATACCTATGAAGCCACATTTATAACAATACGATTGTAGGCATTCATACTTCACCGATATCCAAACCTCTGAGCCATCGGGTCTCGCTATCCAAAAGCATAAGTTAAAGGGCCTTTAATGTCGATCAGCACTCTGGCACGAGCAAAGCTTCTTGTAAACTTTCCTTCAATCTTCAGCCTCTCATACCAGACTAAATCTCCCACTGAGCTGCTCATGCTCCAAACGTTTTCTTCACATTCTAGTATTCCTAGAGGGACATTATGGAATTGGACCCAGAAGGGGGTTTTGTCGAAGGAGACCTCCTCCAGGACCTTGAATTCTGACCACTCCTGTATACTCATGAGAGATCCTTGTATTAACCAGGGTCGTCCCTTCATTAGTCTGCATTTCTCCTTCATCTCTGTGAACGTAAAAATAAAAGCATCTTCACCCATTTCAACAACATCTACCGTTTCGTTCAGGTTCCATCCTTTACGGATCGTAGCTATAACAGCTTTCTTGTTAACCCTTTTTTCAGACAGAAATGACTTTGCCAATGAGCATAGTACTCTTCTTCGATCTTTCCTGGTTTCTCCATACCATTTCTACCCTTCGGCCCCTTCGGTGGCTTCCTCCTTCGGGGTCGTTCATTTTGTAGCTTCGTAGCTTCTACCTCCTTCCTTTCAGGCTTAAATCACAAACACTTGCTTGATTAGCACTAGGAGCTAAGAAGGTGAAACAGCGAACACTCACTCTAACTCTTACTCACACAGACTCTCTCACACCAGTACCTCGGCTTCACTAATGGAAACCAGGGTACTCTTAGAGCGGAAGACCCCAGTGGGTGGACTCTGTACACTCCACTACCACTACGGGCAGTACCTTACACTCTCAGTATGAGAGAAAAGCTCCCCGTAGCGAGAGCACTTTGATTTTCTTTCTTTAGCTTTATGAAGCCCCCTAAAGAACACTAAAAAGAAATGTGAATATAAAGACTGATTTTTAGGTTTCCAGTTGCGAAATTGTCAATTGCAAACATTTCTGTTTTCACAGAAAATGGTATCCTTGGGAAAATGTTGGAGTCTTGCTAATTTTGACGTCGGCCCACACATCTTTTCATCCCAATATTTTGAATAGTATCCGAATTCATAGTTCTAGTATCAGTTAAGTTTAGTTTAGTAGTAAAATTGGATTGGGAGAGCTAATTGGATTGTGCACTGTCTAATGAATTAAAATAACAAAAAATCGACTTTTAATAGAATAAACTTATAGGTTACTCGATAAATTAAATAAAAATTTTTAAGTTATTACTATTTACTCATCATATTTAAAAAATGCAAAGATCCATATGAAATAAACTTTTATTATGGTCACGTTCATACAGTTCACAAATATTTGACCAATACTTATTTTCCAAGGCAAGATTGAAGGTGCATAGAGAAAAATGATGGTACTCTACAGTGAAAATAATGGATGAGAATACGAACTGCATCGAGAAATAATGCCTCAATATATAGCGCGCATAACATAACAAATTGGCATCAGAACTCATAATTCTAATTTAATTTAGGATAATTCCATAACCAGTTTTTATCAACAATTATTATTATTACTTATTATAAACAGTTCCACTAAACATTATGTACTGCCCGCCATGCTTTTCTTAGCTTCTATTATGGCAATATATAAGGGATGGATGACAACTGTAAACTTTTTGAAGTTGGTACCATCTTAGTGCTTGTTTGGTCATGCTGCAGAACACTTATAAGCATTTTCATACAAGTTGAGATAAAACTCTTTTTACATACTTACCTTATACTCTTTAAATCATGTTTAAGAAGCTATTTATAAACCATTTCAAATGGGTCCTTATTATATCGCATCATGTATTGCTCACAAGCTATTCAAAGTATTAATTACCTTCTATTGAAGATTATAGACGTAATGCATGAGGATATTGGCTCCCTCCATTCTTTTGGCATGAAGCCACTGATGCTTCATGGGAAAAGCAAGTCCTTGCTTATCACTTTCTTCAGCTTCTTCCATTGCTCTCCAAGTTCCGTCATTAAATAACCAGCTGATATGAGATCAGATGACATGCCCATAGGTCTTGTTTCTTCAAGAACTCACACGCAGTAGCTGGGCTAGTCACTGGGATAAGAGCTTGGAATAAGACCACAAGGCTGAGAAGAGGCAGAAGGAAGAATACTCCATGGCTTGAAAACTAAAGGGATTAGGCTGTAGACACCATAAGAGATGAATGGAAATTATTGTTGAGCCTGTGACTACTATATATATATATATATATATATATATAAACGCTTCGTGGCTATTCATAGGGGTTAGCTAATGACTTAGTGCTGCTGCAGGGCAAAAAGTGTAGCATCTGGCTTGTTATAAAATAACATTACTTTCGGTTTTAATTATAAGACCTAGTTTGTAAACTGTAACCTAAGTTTTATAATTAGGAGTGGGGGCAGTATTAAGAATAAAAGATCATTAGATCAATATTCCTTCCATGTTTAATTATTTATGAGTCATTTTCTACTATATATTTTACATGAATTAAGATAGTTAAGAATAGTTTATAAATCCCATCTTTTCACAATATGACGCTCCTCAAATGCGATTTTTTAATTCAGCCTTGCTTGTTTATCTCAATTCCTTTCTACTTTATCATTACTCAACAGTATACATAACACACTGATAGTATTATTGAAAAAAAAATTATGGGTTAAGGTGCATCCAACACCTTAAAATATTTTCTCAGGTGTATCCAATACCCTAAAGTATTTTGTGGTGCATCCAACACCTTGAAATATTTTCTCGGTTGCATCCAAAACCCTAAAGTATTTTGTTGTGCATCCAATACTCTGAAATATTTTTTTTAGGTGTGTCTAGCACCTAAAAATATTTGTCGGTGGATCCAGCACCAAGGCAAAAATATTTCAAGGCGTTGGGTGCTCCTAAAATATACTTTGGGGTGCTGGATGCACCACAAAATAGTTTAAGGTGCTAGATGGACTCGAAAAAATATTTTAAGATACTAGATGCACTTTGACCCAAAAATTATTAATCATGATTTATAAATAAAAACATAAAAAAAAATTATCAAGAGTGGTATGATACTACCTCGGGTCCTTAATATAAAACCTCATTTAATTTTTATTTTAATCCTAAATATAAGACCCTAATCCACTTTGTCTCTCATATTTAAATATTTTTTCCTAAGGTGATCCTTCTAATAATGGTAGTTGTAGCCAATACACTTGATTAGCAAGGCTATTTTAGGAAAGACAACACATATTTATTACAAATAACTAATATAACTTATTTTCTTAATCTTTTTAAATTAGTCCATTAGCTCTTATAATTAAGATAGAAAGTAATAGTTGCATGTGTAATTGTAGATTGCCCAGAAAAAGACAGAAAATTCATAGAATGACGTGACCTGCAGCTCGGACGCCCTTGTCGACGGGGAAGGCATAAACTTTTCTATCCACCCACGCGGCGATCGATCGTCCGTGTTCTTGTGGTTCGATTTTGACCTTTATTATTTACCCGCCGACAATAATTATTTATCAGTGGGGACATTAATCTTTCATATACTTAGGCCAAACAATTAATGGGTTGCAATATTGGATTTGGCACCGCCTGAATTCCGAAAACCATTCAATATATTGTTTCTTTTTTTTTTGTGGCAAACAAAAGCATAAATATTAGAGACAAAATAGATTGGGGTCTTATATTTAGAACCGAAATAAAAATCAAACGAGATCTTATATTAAAAATCAGAGTATTACGTACACTATAATATAGTGTACCGAGATGAACGAGACAACTAAAATCATACTAATAGATTGTAGTAATGTTATATTACCCTGGCTAAATTAACCCAACAGGTAAACCTCATGAGGCAACCTTGGTTTTGCAATGACCAACAGTGGCTGCGCGATGAAGGGGTCTGTCTCGGACTGAACCAGTTCAACTGGTTGGTGAGGTGGAGCACTGCAAGTGAACCCATGGACCAACCTGGCAAGCAGCATAACAGAGAGAGCGGTCCCAAGCATCATTCCGGGACACCCGCGTTTTCCTGTAGAGAAGGTTATGAACCGCAGATCTGTTTCTGACAAGAACACTTCTGAACCATCGTCCGAGAGGTGTCGTTCTGGTTTGAACTTAAGAGGATCCTCCCAAACCTTGGGGTTTCCTAGCTCCTGTCTGCTCAGAATCACGTGACTGCCTTTGGGGATGAAATAGTTGGAAACCACTGTGTCACGCATAGGCACATGAGGGACGTTGAATGCAGCAATCGGATGAAGGCGAAAGGCTTCTCTTAGGCAGGCTTTGATGTAGTTGAGTTTTGGTATGTCTAATTCTTGAACAAGCCTGTCCTTACCCACTACTCGATCCAATTCCTCAGTGGCTTTTCGAAGAAGCTCTGGCTGGTTCATCATCTCTGCCAGTGCCCATTCTGCAGCGTTTGATGGATTGTCGACTGTTGCACATATAAGATCCTGCAAAATAAATAAAGTTCTTCCGATTCATTTTTGTGATTGCTTTAATCATGTTCTCTAAAATTCTCCTTCTTAAAAAGCATTAAAAAAATTGAAGGATATGTGAAGTAGACAAGAGCATTAACTGTAATTTCAGCTTTGATTTCTTGCATGGATAATAGGGGGTT